GAGGGCGAGAAGGACGGCGGAGGCCCATCCCTCCTGGGCTGTGTGACCTCGAGCAAATGGATTGTGTCACTTCTCTGGGCCTCAGTTTTCCTCTTCTATAAAATGGCTATATGGCAATGCATCCCTCTTTTTTTTAATTTTTATTTTATTATTTTTGTGTGAGTGCACCGTCAAATCAGATCTGACTGGTACAAGGGGAGATTGTCCCTCCTTTCCCGGCAGAGTATCTGGTGGATTCAAACCGTGCGCCTCTGGGATTGTAGTTGCAGCTCCTTGCCACTAGGCCACCAGAGCTCCCCTATGCATCCCTCTTAAAACTTGCGGGAGGCTTGAGGGAGTTAACGTTGGTGGTGTAGCCCATAGGGAATTGAGCTGCTGAGCCAAAGGCAGGGTTTCTTTGGCGGTTCGAATCCATCCACTGCTCCGCTGGAGAAAGATGGGCACTTTCCTTCCATTTGACAGACAGCCTCCTGAAGCCAGACTGGAGGGTCAGCTGCAAGCCTGTTTTGACTGGGCAGCCTTGAGTTTCCTAAATTGTAGAGACTTTGGCACTATGTTCATTTGCACATAGGAGCAAAAGGAGCCCCGAGAGCATAGTGGTTAAAGTGCTTAGCTGCCAGCCACAAGGTCATAGGATCAAACCCACCAGCCTCTCGATGAGAGAGAAGTGAAACAGTCAGCTGTATAAAGACCTGGAGCCTTGGAGGTCCCATGAGGCCATTCTCTTCTGTCCTATAGGACTGTGTCCAGTATCTAGGCAGCCTTCCAAACAGGCACTGACTCGTGTTTATTATTTAGGAATCCAATTTCATATGAATTTTTGGTGTTTTTTTGGTTTTTAAAGAATACAAGGATTCTGTTGCTGGCTGGCATATGTCTCTCTCTCTCTCTCCCAACCACACTTCTCTGGATTTTCCTTCCTCCGATGGGGACGGAGACCCAGTAACCAGGCCACCACGGGGTGACGTGAGCTCACAGCGCCAAGGTGGATGGTTTCACACATTCTCCAGCACACTGGAGATGCAGGGAAGCCCCTGTGGCCCTGTTCACAGGTTCACATTCTCTACAGATGGAGAAGGGAACCGAAGTGCGTGTACACAAGAGTCCAGTGCCCGCAGGGGCGCTGCCTTCGTACTGATCCTGACCCCTGGTGAACCCTCCAGCCAGTGTCTTCATGGGGGAAGATGGCCCATCTTTCTCCAGAGAACCAGCTGGTAGATTCAAACCACTGACCCTCCTGTTAGCATGCGACTCAGGGCACTCCACTCGGCCACCAAAGCACCTTCCCTGCTGTGGACAGAGGCCCTGACTTCCAGGATGACCACTCAGAGCAGCTGGGGAGGGAGGCAGGTCATAGAAACCGCTCAGTGGTGACCCCTTCAGGCGGCTCCCGGGGAGCGTGTCCTGCAAGATGCTTTCCTGATGCTCTGTGACCAGAGAGGCTGGGTTATATAGTGAGTAGGCCTCCCGTTAAGCGGGCTCTGATGGCCTGGTGGTGAGGATCTGCACAGCCAACCCGAAGGTAAGCGGTTCAAATCTACAAGTTGCTCCTCGGGAGAAGGATGGGCTACCTCTTTCCATGCCTCAATAATACCCCAAAACCAGCAGATAGATGGATACACACACGACACACACATATATACAAATATATACACATAGAGAGTACTCTGGTGGCCTAGCTAGCGGTAAGGAGCTGCACTGCTAATCCGAAGGCACGCAGTTCAAATCCACCAGCTAATCTCCTCCAATGTGATTTATTGCCTCTGAAAACCTGCCGGAGGGTCAGCTGTGGGTCATTTCTGCCGCGATGGTACACAACAGGCCTTCCTTTCAGAGTGGGGGAGACACCCCGTGACCTGATTTACCCTAAGCCAGCCCGCTCTGTGCCTCAGTTTCCTCATTCCAACTATCAAAACAGACACCTGACTTCTTGTTGGGGGACTCCTGTCGACCCCGCAGAGGCATCCAGCCAATTAATCTTCAGAGCAAACACCCGTGGAGTTTCTGAGATCTTAAGTCTTAACTGGAGGGCACGGCCTGTTCTTCTCCAGAGCAGCTGGTGGATTTGAACTGCAGGAGGCCCGTGGCCTCTTGGCAAGCGCTGTGACACACCACAGGCCCCCCGTGTCTCACGGAGCAGGCATGAGAGTTCACACAGCGCCCCTGGCTGGTCTGCCGCCCCTCGGTTTCTGCGTACAGGCAGAGAAGTCTAGTCTGAAATTCGTGGTCAGCCAGCCCTGTGCTGTGACTCTGGGGAGCCCCTGCCAGTTTCTGAGCCTCGAATTACCCATCCAGGCAGTGGGTGCCAGCAGGGCCTTTTCAGTCCCCCCCTTGGTGCTCCCCTTCCCCCCTCCCCCCAGCTGGGGGACAATAGACAAGATGTTTATCCCCCCCACCAGCTCACATGTTGTTCCGTAATGACAGTAATCAACGGTGCTAATGCCGCATTCTCCCAGCGCCAGTCAATTCCCCTAATTACCGCCTGGGAAGCCGGATTATTTAAATTTAAATGGTGATTTATTGCGAATTTAATCAATGCTATTTTCTCTCCCTCCCCCTCCCCTGGGGTTGGGGCAGGAGGGGACCCTGTTACCCCCACCTTGAGGATACCCTCTCTTTCAGGGAAGGGGGGGTCAAGGACCCCAGTCCCCTCTCATCTGTGGCCTCAGATGAACCCACTTCGTTCATTGTCTTTAACTGAGAACAATAAAGGCATGAGATAGAAATAATAACAGTAAGGCAATACTCCCTATGTATTTTTTTATGATAAAGTCTTGAATACTAAGAATAAAATATTCCACATCTACCTTCCACCTCTTTTACACATTCTATGAGATTCCTGAGGGATGCAAAAGAGAAATTATTGTCGTTGGCTGCTGACTGAAGGCTAGCCGTTGGAGTCCACTAGGTGCATCAGGAGAAAGCGCTTGTGATCCACTGGCCAGAAATCAGCCATTGAAACCCTGACGGGGTGGTTCTACCTGGACACGCCTGGGGCCCCTAAGAGCTGGAATCAAGCACCACGACGTATCACCTGACTTTTTCATAGCCTCTGTTATTACGCGTTCCTGTGGAAGCCCAGCACACAGACTAAACACACTAAAACACTCCCAACAAGGGAGCTCTGGTGGTCTAGTGGCAAGAAGCTGCACTGCAATCCCAGAGGTATGCGGTTTGAATCCACCAGATGCTCTCCTGGAGAAGGAGAGGCAATCTCCTCCTGTACCAGTCAGATCTGATTTGATTGCACACACACAAAATAATAAAATAAAATGAAAAACCCAACCTCCCAACAGTCCTGCACAGAGGTTAATTGTGGAAAACAAATACCAGCTGCCACTGAATCCACCCTGACTCGTGGGGCATCCATGTGTCAGAGCTGACCCGTGCTCCCCAGTTTTTCAGTGGATCCTTTTTTTTTTTTTAAGATCACCAGGCCTTACTTCTGAGGCATCTCTGGATTCTGGCGAGCAACCCGCTGATTCGTACCACCCATCAGTGAGGCAACTGACCTGGGTACGTCAGAAGACAGGGCTGGTGATGCGCTTCTGACTCTCTGCCACGGAGAACCCTTTGGGTAACAGTAGTCTCCGCGTGTTGATGTGTTTCGCCCCTGAGCGGAGCTCCGGCTGGTGCCGCACAGCCCCTGAGGACGGAGTTGAACAGTCTACAGGGTTTGCACGCTGTAATCTTTCGGGAAGCAGGTTTGCGCATTCTTCTCTTGGGGACCGAGGTTAGGTGGTGTGTTCAAACTATCCAGCTTTCCACGAGCAGCCTGTTAACGTCCCCAGGGCTGCTTCCGCTTGACGCATGGCGAAAACTTCACGGCCACTGCTGCTGAGGGGGCTTCGGTGGCCCATAATCCAAACTGCAAACCCGAAGGCTTCAAGGCTCCAGAGGTTCGAATCCACTAGCTGCGCCTCCCTGAAAGAGGGTTTCTCTCCTGTTTTCATCGACAGCGCCAGAACCCCGATGGTGGGTCACTGGGCGTCACAACCGACCGGATGGCGGTGAATTTGAGGTTTTGGTGCGCTGCCATCAAGGCCATGACTGTCATCTTTACGGATGGCTTCCCCTTTCTCTCACGAAGCAACTGGTGAGCGTGAGTCACCAACTTTCGGTTAGCTGCCAAATTCTTTAACAACTGCCCCACCATGTTTTGCACATTTAGACCCACTGCCCACGGGTGGATTCCAATGCCTGGCCACCACTCTCCACAGTCTCCAAGGCTACAGATCCGTGAGATTACATCATTGGTCTCTCGAGAAGTGGCGAGTGGATTTGAACTGCTGACTTCTGTGTTAGTAATCCAACACTTAACCATTATCCCACCGAGATACCTTACACACACACACACACACACACACACACACACACTCTTAGTACTTTCCTGAGTATGGCCATTATTCCTATTCTTTGACGAGGCACATCAAGGTAATTTAGCATACCTCAGGAAGTGTGGGAGTGGGGGGTGTGACCAAGTCCCCAGGTCCCCTCTCCTGCAGCCCCCCATCTTTCCTTCCATAACACACAGTCTTCCTCCTTCAAATCTGAGAAGAGCTGACTCCACGGTCCTTGCGTCCCCTGGGGGGACTTCAGGACACTGTGCGGGGAGGTCTCTAACTCACAAAGGTGGTAAGTCCAAGTTGAGTTCCCTGGTTCTGCCCTTGAGCTGGGAAGTTACCTATGTGATAAGAAATTATTCATCTACTCTGATTAAAAGAGCTGTGTTTACTAGCGGTCTGATTCCTGAAGCTGCCAGGCCCTTGGTTAGAGCAGAATTCACAAGTCTTACCAACTGTTCTTGCACCCATTTTAGAGATAAGTCAACTGAGGGCTGGAGAGTTGACAGATTAGGAGCACACAAAACAGACCCAGCCAACTGCAAGGCTCGCTCTTGGTCGCTGAACTGGGTGGAGGCCCGAAGGAAGCTCGGCCTTTGCGCAGCCAAGGTGGGCGCACGAGCCCGCCCCCTCCATCCCGCGCGCATGCGTACTCACTCAGGCCGGGCGGAGGCCCCGAGGCCCTTAGCCCCCAGGGCGGCGCTCCCAGAGCTGCGAAGCGGCGCAGGCGGAGGTAGGTGACGCTGAGGCGCACGATGGAAGCCTTGTCCAGCTGGCTCGAGATGGCGCCGGGCAGCGGGAGCAACTTGGCCAGCTCGAAGAACTCCAGGTTTTCCTTCCCGCGCCGCGAGCGCGCCGCGTTCCGGGATTTCTCCTTGCGCTGAGCCTGCAAGCTGGGCGGGCAGCATGGAGGAGGCGTCAATACAGCCTGGGAGCGCCCTGGGGGTCTGGGGACCAGCCAGTCTCCTGGGGCCTCTGGAAGGGAACGCCTGAGAGGCCAGGAGTGCATTCAGCACCCTCAGAGACAGGAGCTCGGGCGTAGATAGGGAGCGGTTGGGAGTTCCTTGGCAGGACATTAAGAAAGGTTAAAGGCTGCTCGGTGGTATTGGGTTCCCGGGGTAAGACGTTCTAGCCCCGGAACTGAGGCAGAAAGCAGGTGTGCGCTCCCCCACGGGCGAGGGCACAGAGAACTGGCTGGAGTTCTTAGGGGACAGGACAGAGGTCTGGGTGTGAACACTCTGGAAATCTGGGGCGAATGCGCCCAGGCTCTTTGGGGGCGGGGTCATTGCCCTGGGGACAGGGCTTCACTTACCAGGGTCCCTGCGGAGCCTTGACCACGAGCCCCGGCAGAAAGTCCCACGGGACGCCGCCCCCTCCTCCAGCGCCATACTTGACCTCGCCGCCGGAGGCACCGTTGGGATAGGGCGCCGCCATCTCGAGGGGGTGGTTCAGGGGCACCCTGCGGGTCTCGAAATCCGCCTCTCCTGCAGCGCAAAGGAGCCGAGCCGCTAAGCACCAATGGGGACCCCTCGAGAGCCCCTAACCTTCCGGGGAAACTGAGGTCCGTGCAGGGTTTAGGGTCCCAGTGAGTGTCTAGGGTTGGGTGGTGCCTCAATTTCTCCTCCCTGGAGGCGCAGGGACAGAGCCCGCAGCTGCCACTCTGCTGGGACCGGGCCGGCCCGCGGGCGAGGACGTGCCCCGCCGCCGCCTCCCCCGCGCCGCCCGCCAGCGCGCCCGCCTCACGCCCGCGCCGGGCCGGCTCCCGCATACCAATGGGCGCACGCGGCGCGCATACGGATCGGACCGGCCCGCCTGCGTGCCGAGCATGCCCAAGGCGTGCGGGGGCGGGCGGGCGCGGGTTCCAGGCGAGGCGCCCGGCACCCCCAAAGCCCCCTGTCCCGGACATCCGTTCCCTAAGCCCACTCCGGGCATCTAGGCCCCCAGATTATATGGGTACGCACAGTCTCCAGGCAGGGCGCAGGGGAGGGGGAGGGGACGAGGGCAGGGACCCCATCTCTGTCCTGCAAAGGGACATTCCCCCATCAGATCATCCAGGTGGGTCCCCAGGCCGTGCCTCGGGAGTCCCCAAATCACAACTTCTTTCCAGTCGGAGCGGGAGCCTTAACCTGCTCCTTGGACGCCACCAGGATGGACCCGGCACTTGGGGCGCCGCTGGCCTGCCTCTGGCTCCCCCCGGAACCAGGGGACGTTGTCCTGTCTTCATTCCTCCGAGGCCAGGAGCGCAGGACATCCCTGCCCCACCCCCCCGGCACCCAGGTCAGCCCAGGTCTCTCCGACCAGGTGCACTGATGCCTTAGCGCAGAACCTAGTCGCCTACGTCCCCAGAGCCCCATTTCTCCAGGACTCAAGCAAATTTGTCCTCCTCCCCGCCAATCCTAGGACCCTGGAGTTGCCAGTCAGTCGCCTACCGCAGTGTCTGCCCCCCAGACCCTCACCATTACCCGGCCACGGGGCAGGCTCCGGGCGCGGCGTGGGGCCGGCCGGGCTGCGCGGAGGTGCCACTCCATAGACCTGGGCGCGCCGGGCGCGCGGGCTGTGGCGCTCGGCGCGGGGCGCTCACCGCAGCCGCGGGGACTTGGAGACGGAGGAGAGCGCTGGCGGCGAGGGGCGAGGCCTGGCGGAGCCCCGCCTCCTGAGGCCCCGCCCCCGGCGCCCCGCCCTTAGGTGCGTCCTTGTTGATTTGGGGGGGGGCCCCCCCCCCCCCGCTGAGTGTCATTGGCTTAGGCCTTTCTGTTATAGGAAAACAGCAGGCTGCAGAACCCCTCCTCCGGGACAGGAAACCCCTTCCTGACGGTAACTCTGCTCAGTGTTTCTCCCCAGCACCTGTCATCTGAGTACCAGAAACCAGTGCCCCCTCCGCCATAGAGAAAAGACTTGGCGTTTAACCCCTTCTCCCATAGGCCCCCCTATTCACTCACCCTCTACCTGCAGCACCTCCAGGAGCTCCCCATCAGAGTTTAAACAGTGATTGTGCGGGGACCAAGGGGATTCTTCCCTTGAGGGACCCTGCGTCCTTTACCCCAAGTTCCCCTCCAAAACCCCCTCCATGTCTGGTGTGCAGTATTGAGGATCTTCAGGTACCCATGCCCCCCCCTCAAGAGACCCCAAAATGAAGAGCAGGTATCAGAAGGAGCCGGCAGAGAACATAGGCAGACAAATGGGGAAACTGAGGCACACACACAGCCTTTGAACACGTCATGCGCACTCACTCTCGCAAAGGTTCTTGGCACAGGAGGAGATTATCCCTTCTTCTATGGAGTAACATCTGGTGGATTCGAACTGGACGTCTTCGTGATTGCAGCGCAGCTTCTTGCCACTAGGCCACCAGAGCTCCCTGATCACAAAGCTTCTTAAACTCACTTATAATGATCAGTTGCTACGTAGGGAGCATCGTTTACTCTGTAACAAGACAGTGAGCTGGACACTCCTGTTTTAGGTGCCACCGAGCCGTCCCTGACTCAGTGACCTGTACACAGGAGGCATGGCTGTGCCGGCCTCACCTTCTCCTTGCGCCCACTGTTGCAGACACTGTGTGGGGCCATCTTGCAGAGAGTCAGTCTCTCTCTCTCTCTCTCTCTTTCTCCCTCTCTCCCTCTATTTTCTCAAGCAGGTTGTGCTCCAGGAACTGGCCCCTCCTGATAACACCCCCAAAGTATCCTCTTCTCTAAAGAGCTCTCTGGCTGCATTTGCTTCATTCAAGAGAGATTTGGGGACGGGGGGGGGGAGTTGGCCGTTCTTCCTGTATGCCGTATTCTTTGTCCAACAGCACAATTCAAAGGCATCTGTTCTTCAGGCTTCTCTATTCTTTATCTAACTTTCACATGAAGATGTTCTTTCACTTGCACAACTCATTACCTTTGAGTTATAACTTCTGGGTTTTGAGAGGCTGTGAATTGCATGAAAGGAGATTTCCCATCTTTCTCTGTTGTTTGTGTGTTCACGGAGTAGAGAGAAGGCCAGCGAGAAGAAATGTGGGTTTTCAGAGGGTCTTGGCTCTCTCAGGCAAGTGACGCTGAGAGTTTGTGAAGCCCCTGGGGTTTTTTTTTTTAGTTTTTAATTTTTTAAAATTTTTTTTTTTTTACATTTCCATGAACATTTACAGAGATTTTGAAATTCCATTCATTCATTGTTGCACCTTTCTCCCTGCCCACCCCACCCCAAACCCCCAAAGCCCCTGTTTTTATGAGCAGAAAATCAAAGCTTATTGTAAAACATGATCTCATGGATTTCTGGTGGCCTAGTGGCAAGAAGTTACACTGCAATCCCAGAGGCGGGCAGTTCAAATCCACCAGATTCTCTGCTGGAGAAGGAGGGCCAATCTCCTCCTGTACCAGTCTGATCCAATTTGATGGTACACACAAAAAATAGTAATATAAAATAAAAAAAAATTAAAAAAACCCCATGATCTCACAGGGTGGGTAAATGTTTAGACATATGGAACAAAGCACAGGTAGGCATGAACAGTTTTCAAGAAAACACCTTTGTACTCATGAACAAGGTACTACACTCTCAACAACCTTATCAAGAACTTTAGAAAATAGTCTTTGCTTAACAGAGAACTTCCTGATCCCTTTCATGGTGGTGCATGCTCCAGGAAGTCTGAGACGGCTTTCAGTCCCATCCATTCATTCTTGGTATTATTTGTCCGCTTTCAGGCATTGTAGCCAAGGCCTTTCACATGTATTCCATGGGCACTAGTAACTGGAGTGAACCAGAATGACCCTACATTTCTCCTCTGGACCGTGACCCATAGCACAATAGCTCTGGACCCTGCTTTCTCTTGTCTCTGACACACCTAGCCTCATTACCAGTTACTGAGTCATCCATCTCATCCGGGGTCTTCCTCTCTTGCGCTGTCCCTCTACCCTTCCAAGCATGATGTCCTCTGCCAAGGACTGGTCCCTCCTGGCAACATGCCTGAAGTATGAGATGGGGCTTCAAAATCCTTGCCTCCAAGGAGCAGGCTGTTTTCCCCTTCTCCAGGACAGCCCTGTTAGTTCTCTTGACAGTCCATAGAATGTTCATTACTCTTCTCCAGCACAACCCATTTTACAGCTAGGGAAACCGAGGTCTCTGAGTGTCTTCATAGCCTGGTGATGGTCGGTCAGTCAATCACATTTCCTCTTTTAGCCTCAGAGAGATGTGCTAGGGTCTCAGAGGAAAACATTCAAGCTGAAGTCACAATCTCCTGTCCCTTGCCTGACCGCAGAGTCTGTGATTTTGAGCAAGTAATTTCACTACTCTAGACCTCAGCTCTTGCTCCTGTGAAATGAACACAGAAGAGGTCACTACCAAGGGTCCTTAAGAGGCTTAATGGAGTTCATCCAGCAGGTCTCAAAGTCTCATCCAAAAACTGGCCCCGGGCACCTCCACTGGGTCAAACTATTCCCCTCGTGCCGTGATAGGTTACTTGATGTGCTGATTTCCTGCACTGTGTGGTGAAGAACACGGAAGGGACTGGGATGCAGAGAAGCATACAGAGTTTCCTTAGAACAAGCACCAATAGAATGCAAAGGGCTGAGACTTCTCACTCGCGTCGGGCATGTTAGCAGGGGAGCCCGTCCCTGGAGAAGGACATCATGCTGGGTAAAGTAGTTGGTGAGTACTGTCAAGTCAGTACTGAGCCATAGCTGACCCTCCAGTGGGTTTTCAGAGACAGTTGATCACACGGGAGGAGACTGCCCATCTTTGTAGAGCAGCTAGTGGATTTGAACTGGGAGCCTTTGAGATTCCAATGCATCCTCTTACCACTAGGCCACCAGAGCTCTCTTGTTAAAAAAAAAAAAGTAGAGGGGCAGGAAGAAGATACTTAACGAGCTGGATTACCATGGTGGTTGTGTGTTATGTGGATAATCTGTGTTGCGTTGATCTCAACTCATAGCAACCCTCCATTGGATTTCAAAGGCTGTTAATCTTTGTGGAAAGGGACTCCCCAGCCTTCTCCTGAAGAGCAGCTGGTGAATTTGAACTGCTTACTTTTGATTATTGTGTGTGTGTGTGTGTGTGTGTGTGTGTGTCTGTCTGTGTGTACCGTCAAATCAGATCTGACTGGTACAGGAGGAGATTGTTCCTCCTCCAGCAGAGCATCTGGTGGATTCGAACCATGCGTCTCTGGGATTGCAGTGCAGCTTCCTGCCACTAGGCCACCAGAGCTCCCCTGAACTGCTTCCTTTTAGCAGCCAAATACGCAGTGTGCTTCATACGATATATGCTGGTAGGTGCCCGGTGGCGACCGCTGTGCCTCATGGCGACCCTGTGAACAACAGATGGAAACCCTGGACCATCGTCACCGTGTCTGCCAGGCTCAAGCTCATTGTTGAGGCCACTGTGTTAATTCATCTCATTGGGGAATCTTCCTCCTCTCATTCGGCAACCCCCCTTTGCTGTGTCCGGCTCCTTGTCCAGGCCTATTT